AGAAACTTGGGCCCGGTTTAGTTATTTGTACAATGATTTTCAGTTGTTGTGTCCTAACGTATAACCCGAATCCAAAGACTTTAACATACACGTGTAATCAAAGGATTAAATGAAATTAAACAAATGTTTCAAATTTCCGACCACTAGCTTATTAATAAATTCGGTTTGCACTATGCACTTTTTTGCTAATTTCCATGTGGGTTCTGCTCAAAAATACTGTTATTGTTGTTGTTGTTGTTGTTGTAGCGGCTACTAAGCCCCGTTCGGGGCGGTTCATCCATCAACGTTGTCGTCTATTTCAGCTAGGGGGAGGCCCAGGAAGTGTGCTACTTCCAAAGGGGCTGTCCATAGGGACAGGGGCGTTAGCTGAGTGGGGTTCTCAGGGCATGTGAAGAGGTGCCGGGAGTCATGTGGCGACTCTCCACATGCCGGGCATTGGTTGGGTTGCTCGTTGATTCTGCTCAGGTAGCTGTTGAGCCTCCTGCAATAGCCAGAGCGAAGTTGGGCTATTGTAGTGCGGGTCTCCCGAGGTAGACAAAGTTCTGTACCGTCCACGTCCAGTGGTTGTGTGCCTAGAACGGCATTCACAGGGCGTGAGTCTACATAACTTGAGACTGATTCCCTGTGAATGCCGTTCAGGGCCTGTCGGTAGGTTGACGGGTCCAGAGGTTGTTTGATATACCCTGGACTTCGTCTGTCACTTCGTAAAGATGCCTCCTGACGAGCCGTGGCGAGGGCTCTTCCGCGAGCAGTTGCCCGCTGGGATGGCCACGTCTGTGGCTTCCAGCAAGGAACTGCTTGCAGAGCATTATGTTATGCTCCTTTACTGGGAGCATCTGGGCCTCGTCATGAAGGTGGTGTTGAGGCGTCATCAGGAGGCATCCTGTCGCAGTTCGTAATGCCGTGTTTTGGCAGGTCTGTAGCTTCATCCACTGCGTCCTGCTAGTCCCCGGCGACCATACGGGCGCTGCGTAGTTTAGAACCGGCCAGCCAATTGCCTTGTATGTTGCCAACGTTTCTTTATCTTTGCCCCAAGTGCTGCCAGCCAGCGACTTGAGGATATTGTTGCGGCTCTGTACTTTGTTGACAATTGCGGTTGTATGCGCCGAGAAGGAGAGCAGACTGTCGAAGGTAACTCCGAGGATTTTCAGGTTATTCACCGTCGGTATTGTTACGCCATCGACGTGAATACCCAGTGGCAGTCTGACCTTCTTCGTACAGGTGGTGAAAAGGGTTGCCGAGGATTTCGCAAGGGATAGGGCAAGGCTCCTTGCAGTGAAGAAGCGAGAAAGTTCGGAGAGGTAACCGTTTACTTTCGAGCACAGGTCATCAATTCCATTCCCAGACGCCATGATCGAACAATCGTCAGCATACGAGACCATATTAACAGCCCCTGGTGCCTGAGGAAGCTTTGATATGTAATAATTAAACAGTAGCGGGGACAGGACACCACCCTGTGGTACCCCCTGTTTAATTTTACGTGGCTTGCTAGTTTGGCCTCTGAAAATTACTGACGAGTGTCGACCACTTAGGTAATTCGCCGACCACCGTTTGAGTCCCTGTGGGAGTGAGGAGGCCTCTATATCTTCTAGTAGCGTTGAATGACTGACAGTGTCGAACGCCTTGGACAGGTCCAACGCTACTAGAATAGTTCTCTCATAGGGGCGGTTTCGGTTTAGGCCACGAGTTATCTGAGTGTTTATGGCGTTAAGTGCTGTTGTTGTACTATGCACTTTACGGAACCCATGTTGATGCTTCGCTGGGGTCAGGTGGTTCGTAAAGTACGGGAGCAGCAGGGCCTCGAGTGTCTTCGCTACCGGGGAAAGGAGAGTTATCGGGCGATAAGATGTACGGGATGTACATAGCTCAGTGGTTAATGCTTCTGGCTTTGAACATCGAATACGCAGGTTCGATCCCTGCTGAAGTCTAGAAAAAATAAGTCTGATGAGATGTGGTGATCTCCGAAATAGTGCTATAACTTCTACCGCTTAGACTTTGTTGCTTTTTCAATTTTTCCTAATAAACAATCGCGGTACAAAGCTCAATAAAAGTATTAAAAATAAAATGTTCAACAGGGTTGAATTGCCGTGCAACTTCGTCTCTTGGACCGCAGCTATTAATATTCCATGCCTTCCCATAAAGACAGTTATCTCCTCGATCTTGCTCTGGAGTCAGTTACAGTTGAATTGTAGCACATTTGTGTGCCTTGGGAGACCGATTGTGATGTGTGGTGTTAAAAAGTTGTGTTGCCTGCCGGCCCCCTGTTGTACGTGCTGCAAAAGGGGGTGCTGCCTTGTGGTGGTGGTTGGCGGCGTCGCGGGGGAGGGATGCGACGGGGCAGCACAGCAGGGGCCCACATAGTCACTCGTCCAATCTCGTGTGTTGCGAAGTCCTGAGCACGCCCTAAAGTGGCACCAGCCGAGGCAAGAGATGCACTTGACTGATGTCACGTTACGGTATATTCTGGACTGACAAACAGAGCAGATTGTCGGAGGGACTAGGAGTTGCCGGCGGCGGTGTGTGGGTGCTATTGTGCTTGTTTGTGTATCTATTGTTGTGTTGTGTTGGGGTGTGGGTGTGTTGATTGTGTGCTGCCCAGGCGGGTGGTGGTTTGCGTGGAGGCGGTCCGGTTCGCACAGCATGGCGCCACGAACGACGTGGTCCATTGCCGGTGCGTACGCAGGCCTGAGCAGTTGCGGAGGTGACTCCACCCGTCACAGGCATTGCACCTGACCAAGGTGGAGTTTGTATGCAGTCGTCTCTGGCATACGCAGCAGGTGTAGATTTCTGGCCCTGGGTTTGACTCTATGCCAGCCCTGAGCAGAAGGGTGCGGAGAAGGTGTAGCCCTAGGATCGAGCAACGTTTGATGGATTTCGCCGACCTAAACGGGGTTAGATCGCCGAAACAACAGCCCTTGGTCGGGTAAAACCCGAGTCATTCCGGTACGTAGAACCGGCTGTCGTGGGAATGTCATGTGGATGGCGTAGCCGGAGTTATATGCACAAAAAATGTTGTATACCTTTGACATGCGGAAGCCCCTCTTCTCCGGCAGCACAGAATTATACATAGTAAGGGTTATAATCCCTAAGCGCGACCGAAGGCAGAATCAAGTGCAACAGGTGGTGGTCCTAACAAAGTGCATGTTTTCAATGGCTTGGAAGAAGTTGTTATTGTGTTAACTAGATTGAGAACCAGTTCTTCAGGCATAGGAGTTCTGGCTTGTGGTTCAACAATTCAACCAGACGCTGACATAGATGCGCCCATGGTTACTATGCCCGACAGCTCCGCATATCTTTGTGAAATCATTCCCATTTACTCTACAATGCACCAAATCTTTTAAATAATTTTGTAATTTAATAATATCCTAGAAGCCCTTAAAAAAAAATCCTAACGTCATAGAGAAACATTAAACCCGCACTTATACTATATGTAGCTCGTATTTTGTGAATATATTCTTTTTTCGAGTGTTTTAGAAATTTTTGGTTTTTGTCGCACGGTGTTATTAAATCATGCAATTACCCGAGGAGACTGCGCAAGAGCATTTTAGCACGCAACCATTGTGCACACATACAAATGACAAATGTTCTTCTTCTGTCTGGAAACCGCCTGAAAAATACATAGAAATATCCTGTGAAAACGTAGAAATATCCTGCCGAAGTGTTAGACAAGGTTTTGTTCATTTACTCTTAAAGTATGTTCACATATCAATATTTTCTCAATCAAAGCTCGTTTTTAATCACCCCGTTTACACAGGCAAATCTCAGATTATTAGCCGTCAAATTTGTTGTGCTTGTTATTCTCACATCTCAAGGAAAAGTTATGTTTCTTCTCTGTGCCACCGTGATCACGTTTTTCTGCTATAATCTTACTAATCTTACTATCTTACTATCTTACTATCTTACTATCTTACTAATCTTACTTCTTACTAATATTATAAATGTGAAAGTTTGTATGTTTGGATGTTTGGGAAATCATCACGCGGAAACGACTGAACGGATTTGCATTAAATTTTGTACGCAGATAGCTTATGGGCCAGATTGGTTAATAGGATATTTTTTTAAGAGTTGCCACCTGTTAAAAAAGTTTCATTAAATTAATACGCGGAAACGACTGAATGGATTTGCATGAAATTTTGCAAGCAAATAGCTTATAACCTACTGTAGAAAATAGGCTAATTTTTTGGAATAGTTGCCACCTATTTAAAAAGTTTAATTAAATTAATACGCGGAAACGACTAAAGGGATTTGCATGAAAATTTGCACACAGATAGCTTATGACCTACAGTAGAAAATAGGCAAATTTTTTGGAAGAGTTACCACCTGTTAAAAAGTTTAATTAAATTAATACGCGGAAACGACTAAACGGATTTGCATGAAATTTTGCACACAGATAGATTATGACCTAGGTTAGAAAGTAGGCTACTTTTTTTAAGAGTTGCCACCTGTTATAAATGTTTAATTTAATTAATACGCGGAAATGAGTGAACTGATTTGCATGGAAGTTTTCACACAGATAGCTAGGTTGAAAAATAGGCTACTTTTTTTAAGAGTTACCACCTGCTAAAAAAGTTTAATTAGATTAATACGCGGAAAAGTCTGAACGGATTTGCATGAAATTTTGCAAGCAGATAGCTTATGACCTACAGTGGAAAATAGGCAAATTTTTTGGAAGAGTTGCCACCTGTTAAAAAAGTTTTAATTAAATTAATACGCGGAAATGAGTGAACAGATTTGCATGACATTTCGCACAGAGATAGCTTATGACCTATGTTGGAAAATAGGCTACTATTTTAAGAGCTATCACGTATTATGAAAGTTTAATTAAATTAATACGCGTAAATGACAGAACTGATTTGCATGAAAGTTTGCACACAGATAGCTTATGACCTA